TTTGAACATGGACAGGACAAACAAGGGAAGATCTTTTGCCCAGAAAAAAATCTTTTTTTACAGACATTAAGCCACCCCTGAGACTAAATTTATCATTTCAGGAGCGTCATAATAATCAAGTCATATATGAGTAGCCTTAAAATTACATCAAAGGCTAAGCAGCTTGAGGAAATTCTTCCACCTCTTCTTCCACCTCATAGTTTTGGTTTTTATTTTTTTCCATTTTTAAAACTGGTGAACACCTTCAAGTTCTTTGTACTTATTTGCAAGAACCTGTGCAAACATGTGGGAGTGTATGTGTATAATGTGTGTGTGTGTTTTTAACCTCTGAGCATACCTGTGGAATTGATTGAAATAAAAAAGCAAAGCTCTGGAATTTTCTTAAAAAATAAATTCATGAGGTGTGGCTGAGTAGCGCAGTTGGTTAAGTGTCCCACTCAGTTTCAGCTCAGGTCGTGGGATCGAGCCCCAAGTGGACTCCATGCTCAGTGTGGAGTCTGTGTGAGATTCTCCCTCCCTCTGCCCCTCCCCTTGTGTGTGCACGCTCTCTCTCAAATAAATAATTCTTTTTAAAAAGTGATAAAAAAATAAATTCATGAGCATGTAATAAGTGAGAGATCAGAAACAAAGTATTAAAAAATATTGTTTAATACCAGGATGTCTATGTTGACCAAGGTTCAAAGAAGAAAGTTTCTCTACACTGATAGATGTTTTCCTTTATATTTTCTGTATCACTAAATCCTGTTAACTTAAGCTTTATATCAGGTTAAGAAGTATCCAGTAATCAAGAATTAGGCACCAAGTTTGAAATGGAGACAGAAAAAAAAGTAACTTAATGTAATCAATGATCATCCTCAAAGGAAAGGCAAAGAGGGGAAGGACACTATAAAAGACTTTCTCAAACATGTGGAGAGGTGGCAGCATGGAGATGACAATCGATAATGAAATGTTAGTTCATTAAACAATTTATACTATAAAGTAGTAACTATAAGGAGAAAAAACAATAAAATTAGTATATAATAAAGTTATCAGTGTGCATTGCCATTACTGATAAAAGGGAAACATTAAACAACAATTTCAACATGCTGTGCATATCTACAGGAGGTTTAATTTATATTCATCCTAGAGTAACTGGCTCATAGTTTGCTGAGGACATGTCAGTTGTTTTGTAGTCCAATAAAAAAAAAATAAAATTAATGGTAAAGAAAGTAAAAAGGAGAATCTAACCCCTGCAGAAAAATGCTCTATAGAATATTTAGCACCTCTAAACATGAAGATCACACAAATTCTAAGATTGACAGAATCCTACGATGTTATAATTCTTTCTATTTTTTTAAATGGAACTTTTTCCTTTAAGATGGATATCTGCTTACATTATTTTTAACTGTATTTCGATAGGAAGACTCCAAGAGGTTCTCTGTAATCAATTTTAGCCTAAAATGATTAGAAAGTCTATATTTGATTTATTTATCTTTTATTTATTTTAGAACAAAAACATTTATTTTTTCTTTGAAATAAATTAGTCCCATAGTATTTACATGTTATAATCCTCAGTTTTTTTGACTTGGTATGAACAAAACTACCAATTATCAGTGAATATGTATCTTCAAGACATATTTCCTCTGGGTCCAAATGATATAAATTGTCAATAAATATTACATTTAAGTAATATTAATATTTTGCAACATATAAAAATTAATTTATCTGTATCACCACGGAGGAGTCAAATTATTTATAATTAAAATGCATTTCACCTAGGAGCAAATACCTGGTTTTTAATAAATTCAAGAGATTAAAAAGTAACAAAATAGTTTAGAGTGAGAGGGTAGTCTAAATTTCATTATATTTTTGTGTGTGTTTATCAGTCATATTATGGCAAAGAAAGGAGGGAGAAACAAATATAATTCACTGTCTTCAGACCAATCCCAGAGCAGACTTTTTTCAATAATTTGTCAGTACTCATAATAATTTCCCAAATACTGCTAGGTTTTGGCTACATTTCTTCATTTAATTTTTCTCTTATTTGATAAATCTTTACTGAGTTAATTCAGGCACTGTAGGTACTATGAGATAGGCACACTTTCCTTAGTCCAAACAAAAACTTCAAAGCTCATTGCCTTGAACGAGATAGGACAAGACCTTCAAGAATCATTTCATTTAGGTTTCGAGTAAATATATTTATTTAAAACAACATAAAATAACTTATCCATGATAAATAAAATAAGATGGCCAGAGATGTTTTTATCATAAGACAAATACCCCCTGAAATTCAAGAATGTGCATTCAACAAAATGAAGTAATGAAAATTTCTCATGCAAAAAATATGCTGGCAAAAAAATATAAATCTCAGATTTTGGGGAGTAAGATTTGTTTTCCTTTAAATTGAAGATTCCTACTCTTTGCATAGTAAGCTGTGTGTTATAAAACTAAATTCAGAAAAAAAATTAACATGAATAAACAATGTACAAATTAATAAGGTATTGCTATTTTTTAAAAGTAATATACTTCTACAAGACAATATACATTCAGAATTTTATCTTACCAAGTCTCAGATTTAGTTATGCTGAAAATTAAGCTTTGGTTGCACCTTTGAGTGTAGATGTAATTCTAGTATAACTGAGAAATTATACTAAAATTTAATTATTCTTACACAGCAAATCCAGGTACTTATAGAATTCATGTGGTACATGTTTGCACACACACACTAACACATTACTACCCTTCAGTTACCAAGTAATAGGTTAATTGAACCTTCTCTCAAACACCTTGTCTAATGCTACAGATGCAACAAAGTAAATTGTTTTTAAGTCAATTTTGTGTATATATTGGGGAAGAAAAATTTTTGAGAACAAGGGCTGATTCACATACAAGTAAGCAAGAATCCATAGCTGAAAGTCATCAGTAAATTCACATTAACAATATGTAGGTTAAATAAATATAGTGTGGCTAAGTATATAATAAGGCACATTCTATATTTGATTTATCCTTTAATAAACCCTTAAACACACAAATTTATTGGATTCTAGATATCAGATCTTTCCTCACATTTTATTCACTTCCTCTAAGTGTGGACCTAAGAAATACAGTATCTTCTTATGATCCCCATGTCCCTAACTATAACTAATACTCCTGGATTTATTGGAAAGGAAGAAGCCAACTAATATCTCAGAAGTAAAGAAATGATATTACAAACCAACTCTGAAACTGTATCATAGTTATCTACGCTTTTGAGGGAGAAAAGACTCATATCATGTGGTAGTTTTCTTAATAGTTACCATACAGCCAACTTAATTAACTTATTTAAATATGAGCAAAGTTTTGGGGCACCTGGGTGGCTCAGTCGTTAAGCGTCTGCCTTTGGCTCAGGTCATGATCCCAGAGTCCTGGGATTGAGCCCCACTTCAGGCTTCTTGCTCAGCGGGAAGCCTGCTTCTCCCTCTCCCACTCCCCCTGCTTGTGTTCCCTCTCTCGCTGTCTCTGTCTCTGTCAAATAAATAAATAAAATCTTTAAAAAATATATTAAAAATAAATAAATATGAGCAAAGTTTTTATGACAAAATTTTTATCTTCCAGGAAACAGGGACATAATCAGAGCAGTCTTCAGGTGACTTCAGAAAGAAAAGAACTGTAGGTCACCAGGTAGCCAGGCTTTTGGTCAAATGGGGCCAGTTGTCCTCACAAAATCACAAACTGCTTCACACTTAGAAATTCTAAAAATGCATCACTGCTAGTCTAACATTAAAAGCGATGGATTTCTATATACACACTTAAGAAAATTTTGAACATTCTTAAATAAACAGGAACTAGAAGAAAAGGAATTTTCAGATACTAAAAGAAAGGATGTTCAAAGGAATATTTCCACAATGTTTTATGAAAATAAATTACTATAATTTAAGGATATAGTCATAAATCTTTTCAGAATACAATATGCAGTATATTAAAAAGTGCCCAATTCTGTATATTTATGAGTTGAATATGTGCTGAAGAGTCAAAAGTAAATAAGTAGAACAGGAACAAAATCAATATGAATATTGATTTTCTGACTTTTTTTGGACCCTACACTACAATTTCACATATTTATGCAAGTTTAAATATTTCCATGAAGACTTTCGTCAAGTTTTCTGTAATAGTCTAACACCAAAACATTTTCAAATGGACAGCTCTAATTACTAAATAGCCCTTCTAACAATGGCCTGGATAAAAAATGGAGATGTGTTTGTTGTAGGAACAGTGCATTCTCATGATTTGATTTATTTACTTACTGTTATTTTAAAAATTTTTTTCTGAAGGTTGATTATGCTCAACTCAATATCAGGAAATACTTTCTACATAAGTTGTTGTTGGGTCTCTCTACCTCTTTTATTTTTGTTCAAAATGAAAAATGTAGATGTGTAACACACATGTTAATGTATCTATTGATACAATATTCAGTACATTTCACTTTAAATCAGTACATGCTATGATTGATGGATTCAGATTGAAATCATTCAGAAGCTGAAAATAGAAGCAGTCATGAAAAAGGGTTGGTTATTTCTCAGAATGTTGGTTTGCCAGAGTATCTGTTTGGTATCCATCACCCTGTTAGGATAGAATGCTGGCTAAGTAGAATTATTAGTCCTATTCCTCTGAATCTACCAGGCACAGGCACAGGCCTTCCCAAACACTAAAATTGAAGCAGAACACTATAAATAATTTTGAGGGGAAAAAACTCACATTTAAAAACTATATTAGAAAAAATATGATTAAAGGCAGAATAAATAATAACAAGTTAATAATTAACTCTTGCGAAGACAGCATACCTGAAAAAGAGAAATTCTGTGCTTAAAAGTTAGCACTTAACATGGACAAGGTAAAGCTTAAAAATACATCAGACACTGAAGTTATCTGCTGATACATTGCTTGCCTGATTGGTTTTGGGATGTGCTTAACAGCCAAATGGTCAGATCAAGGTAAAGAAGAGATCAGCTGCAAAAGTTCAAAATCACAGCTTCCTTTCTTACCTTCCACTGAGGAGGAAGCCGATAACCACTGCCAACAAAATGACTCCCACTGTCACAGACACAGCAATTATAGGAATCTGGCTTTGATCGCTGGATGCTGCAACTGCTGATAGGAGACACAGGAAATGGAGCCCGTGGTTAAAGAGATCATATGCATTCAAATAAGAGCTGCTTAATAGTCAGTAATCAATGCGTGGTTTAAGCAATTCCCCCACACTTGGCCGAGATTTCCTCTTCATATCTCTGCTCAATGGTGTGTAATTGAAAAGACATCTTTAGGAGAAAATATTTACTCTCCAAATGGAAATTTGAAAGAATCACTAAGTCACTGATTATTTCTTTGTCATCATAAAAAATGAATGTAATCGTTTTCATAGTATTTATCTAGGGATCTTGGGTTTGCAAGATAAAATGCAACTTAGTCCTTGAGATCAAACACCTTCATCTGAATAGGAGGTGCTAAGTATATAAGATTTGACATTTTAGAGTTCACATGTGGCTGTTCGCTAGAAAAAAAAATCTTGGTACCTCAGAGAGGGCTTTTTTTTTTTTTTTTTCCTCATAGACATAGCTTGAACACCAAAATGTTCTGGCTATGATTTCAGTGAAGTTAATATAATATCACTTTTCCTAATATAAGTTTAAAAACTGTGATTTCAATCAGAATATAATCAGTGAGTATACTTTATGTGTAGGACTACTTTTTGAAAGATATCAAGGCACACATTTAGAACTTTGAGAAGTCTGCTAAGAGTAGGTTTATTTACACCATCTTTTTTTAAATACATGGATTTAGTTGAAATATCCTACATTTTAACAGTACAATTACCATAATAAGAGGAATATGGACATGAGTAGATAGTTGTACCTCAATAAGCACGGGGATGTTAATTTTGTGCCGACAACTATGCATTATTAAAATAAGAAACTTATAGAGCAAAATAAATTTCACTAATGTTCTCAAAAAACACTCAGTAAGATACATACTATGCTACTGTTTAACAATATAATCATTTTTGATAAATTCAGAGTGATGTTAGCTCACCTTCATAACAAATTTTAAGTTATCAAAAGTAATAACAACTATACTTTCCATGTTTTGTTTCTTATAACCCCTTATCAGATCTTGGCCCCATCAATAGTTTTGGACATCCATACACTTCCCTTTCTATTATTGTCACCTCTCTTTTGATTCTTTCAAAACAAAATTGACTTACTCTCTGACACTTGCACTTGAGCTACACTTTTAACCCTTTCAGGTCAGTCTTTAAACCCAATATCAACAATAGCTTGTTCCTGTATAAAAAAGACTTAATTGATAATCTAAATCTATGTTCTTACCCCCCCCCTTTTCTTGGATAATAACAGTTGTGGTTCAGTGGTTCCGTATCTTCATTTTTCTCTCCTATTATCTGATGCTGAAGTCTGTGGTAGAGAATTCAAAGCTGGTGAGCAGTATAAATGGGTAGGGCAAAGCTACTCCACTATCGCAAAGAGCCTAGACCCAAGATTTGCTTTTATAATCTCTAAACTCAGATTATTTATACCATTGCTTTTTCTTAGTTCTTTAATTTTCTTTTTGGTAATTTCTTTTGGCATGTTCCTAAAGAAAATCATACAGGCTTGGTCTATATACATGTTATTTTTATTGGGCTCTAACTGCTATTCCAATTATTTTGATTCTCTCTTATTAATTTCCTGACAAAATCATCCCCATAATGAGTCCTCCTCATTTTCTCAAAACACTAATTCATTACCACTTCTCATGTTTCAGAAATGTTAAACTTTATAGATAAAAAAGAGTGATCAAGTCTGAACTCCATGGTTAAATCAAACTGTACGGGTTATACAGTTTTCCTTTGCTTTACCTAAGTCCAAAGTTAGAATCCTTCCTGTCTCTTCTAAGACCTGGATCCTTCAACAATCTCCTCCAGGAGAGATTTTCATTCCCTTACAGGCTATTTCTCTGCTATCTACAAGCCTGAACACATAATTCTCCTTAGGGGACACAAATCCTTATACCTAACCTTACTGATGTTGGTTCAATTGAAATTTGAAAACAGGTCCAACATTTACTAGGTATATAGGCCAAAGCAAAGTACTTAACCTTATCAAGTCTCATTTCATTAATCTCCAAATAGGGATAATTTTCCTGGATCATTACAATTCTGTTTAGAGATAATATTTAGCATAGTGCTTCAATTATTGCCAGCCTTAAATAAATAGTAGATAATATTTCTATATATTGCTTTCTGATCCTGCTTTATCACTCTTATTCTTTCTTATTTTTCAGCATCTTAACTAAGTTATCTAGAACCAGCCTCATTTTTCTGATAACCAATGTAAATTCTCTCTGAAAATTCTCCTGTCTTTGAGTTCTATGTGTGATATTCTGGCTACATGCAATAAGTACTTCTCCATTTACCTTACCATGCACTATAAGGCATTTGACCTTGTTGAACATAAACTTCAACCTTGAGATTCTGCTCCTCTCGGTTTCTATGACATCAGATGAGCTGTTTTCTCTTTTTCCCCCACTCTGAAGTACTACTTTGTCAGTTCTGTTGGCTTCACATTCTCGCTCCACATCTTATGCATGAACAATTTCTGATGAATGCTGGCTCTTAATCCTTCACACTTCCTTAGCTCTTCACTCTGTCTTTCTCCCTTCCTTCTTTCTTTACTCCCTACCTCTCATGGATACTTCTTTGCATATGGCATCAGTTAACTATAAGCTGATGAGTCCCAAATTTATGTTTCCAAGTCTTATTTCTCTTCCAAGCTTCACTCTATTAAAAAAAAAAAAAAGACTGCTTTCTTTTTATTTGGATTGTGTTTTCATATAAAAACAACATGTTTAAACTTGGCCCTTATACCACATCCACTCCCAAGGGTATTAACAAAAACACATCAATAAATAAACATAACCATAAATCAAACCACGAACCAGACTAATTTGATCTCTTTTCTCCTGGTTTCTTTTAACTATCACTGAATTTTTCTTAATTCCTACTTGCCTATTAATTAATAAACATTTTCTCTGTTTCTTTTGTTTTTCCCCATGAATTATATTTTTTCATCTAACAGTCACCTATTTGATTCAAATCTGCCGGCATATGGTTCATCGGCATTTTAAGTGTCCCCTTTGCCTTCTGTGTACTCACATAAATATCCAAAAATATCACTTTGATCATGTTTCTCTGACCAAAAAGTTAACAAGTACTCACTACCTATGAAAAAAAAAATTCCAAATTCTCCATCTAGCATTCAAAAGCCCTTGTAACAAAATTCTAACAAATCTTCCTGGTCTCAGTGTGCCATTTTGGCACTCTGAGATTTAGTTTTGGAGGAAGCAGGCATGATTAATCAGAGGTAGGGATAAAAATAGGACAATTTTAGACTGACCAAATATTAATTTTGAGAAAAAATATGGATGCCCCATATTCTCAAACGCTTCATTTTTAATAATTGACAAAATCTAATATAATTTAACAATATGTTAAAATATACATGGTTTGAGTTAACATCTTGCAATAAAGTAACTTTTAATAGCATACCAAAAATTTTCAAATGCTTAAATTAATACATTTTATGAAAATATGAAAATATTTTTAGTAGTGCCAAGTTACATAGGTTCATATTTACATGTTTTTATCTACTGTTCGCTTAAATCAGATCTTTTGTATAATAGACGATTAAATCAAGGGCCTATGAGGAAGAATTTAAGTAATACATTTTCATTTTTAGAAAAATTTCAGCATTTTCTAATTTCTTTGATGGGCTTTGATTATTTTACTATTTCGAATGTACTAATTATTTTGTGAACTATTTCTAGTAAAAATAATTCATCAAGATTTTTTACTATTTATTCCTTTGTTCTCACAGCATCAATAATATCCCCAATATATCAACTAACTTGAAAATTTATAGAATTTATAAGGTACTGTCAATGCCCTCATACTTCTTCAAGGAAAAAAAATTATAAGCCCAGTATGGTCCATGATTATTGTTTTAATATATCATTAAGTTTTTTAATCTTTAAAGATATAAACCTCTAGTCACTCACATTTCCTATTTTTTTTTTTTTTTTATGTCATGTAGTTTTGGAAGAATTGCTGAGGAATATTTAGGGAATGCTTAAAAGCAAATTTGGGGCAACATAACACACTACTATTAAAAGGATATATGTTATAAACATTAATTGTCTTTAGTAAACAATATTCCTTTTTCTTCAATTATTATATACTTACATTATCCCTGGAAACTTTAAGGTAGTGTACACTGAGAAATCACATTGATTACCTTATTTTGCTTCTCATACTCCTGATTGCAAACCCATATTACATAGATATTCTCTACATTTTAGCTCTGTATTTGAATAGTTAATCATGAAGCTGAAAAGATTTGTTAAAGCCAGATTATAAGGGTTTTTGAAGACCAGGTTAAGAATTTGGGATCTTTCTACCACAGCTGTAACTATCTGTTAATTTTCTTGATTAAGGTAATTTGATCAAAGCTATAATTTTTGATATGTAATATGAGTACATAGGAGTTAATGGGGATATTTAAAACAGCATGGCAGGCAAATATGCACATGAAAAGATGTTGAACATCATTAACCATCAGAGATTTCAAATTAAAACCATAATGAGATATCACTACCCACCTGTCCAAAATGACTAAAAGAAAAATATAGTGAGAACAGCAAATGCTGATGAAAATGTGGATAAACTGATCACTCATACATTGCTGGTGGGACTGTAAAATGGCATAGTCACTCTGGAAATCCATTTGTCAATTTCTTACAAAATTAAAAATAAAATTGCCATATGATGTAGCAATTGTACTCTTGGGTATTTATCCCAGGGAAATGAAAACTTAGATCGATGCAAAACATGTACATGAATATTCATAGCATGTTTTTTGGTAATAGAAAAACTGGTATTAACCCAGATGTCCTTCAACAGGTGAATTTTTAAATAAACTGTGGTCCACACATAACACACTCAACAATAAAAAGAAACAAACTTGATATACATAATAATTTAGATGAATCTCCAGAGAATTAAGTCAATTCTAAACTGTCACATACTGTATGATTCCATGTATAGAACATTTCTGAAATATCATATTTTTTGAAATGGATGTTTAGAAATTAGTGGTTGTCAGTGATTAGGTATAGCACAAGAACTATTCCAAAAGGCAGTTGGTATAGTTATAAAAGGGCAACCTGATGGATCTTTGTGATGTTGGCACTCTTCAGCATCTTGACTTTTGTGGTAGATATGCAAATCTACACAACTGACTAAACTGTATCCAACTTAATACACTCACCTGTTTCTATACACACACACACAAAGGACTAGAAAGAAATGTGAGTAAGATTGGTGTATTGCATCAATGTCAGTATTCTGAATGTGATATTATGCTATAGTTTTGCAAAATGTTACCATTGGGGGAAACTGAGCAAATTGTACAAGAGTCCATTCTGCACTGTTACTTACAATTGCATGTAAAACTCAACTTATCTAAATAAAATTTCATTAAAAAAACAGAATAGCATTATTCCAGCAATTGGTTATACAGATTTGAATCAAGTAGGTAAGAATTGCATGAAAGGAAGTGATGCTTTGGAGAAAAAAAATCATAAAAGAAACACAAAGGTGCTTGGTAAATCTTAGCAAGTGGGAGTTAAGAAAAATTCAGTGACAGCCTCAAAGTTTCAGGACAATTTATGTTAAAAGAAACCAGAAAAAAAAAAAAAAGAGTTAACTAGATTGGCTAGATGGTTTCATTCATGCTAAGTTTATTTGTTGGTGCATTTTTATCACTGCTGTTGGGAAAAGGGATGACATATGGGGCCAATTTTAAACATGTTATTTATATGCATAACAAAGTGGATAATAGGCAGTTATAAAATATAAACTAAGCTTGAGAGAGAAAGACCACTCTGAGATTTTTCCATCCAAATCCTCATGTTAAATAGCCTTTCTAAAATAAAGATTTATATTCCTGTGCTTACAGTTTGCATTTGGTTTTAGGACTATATGAATGACATACAAGATAATTGAGATGAAAAAGAAAAGCCTTTCATAACAATTTTATGACCTACTTATAAATTAAAATTTATAAATTTTATAAATTAAGCAAATCAATAACATCATGCATCATCATTATGAATTGAGTAACCAATTAGAAAACTCTTTTTAAAGTGTATGTTCAAGGTAATGATCTTCAGATAATTTTCTGTCCTAACATACCTGAATGATCAGATAGAATTTTCTTAGTATTGGTAAGTCATTAAAGCCAGTATTCTTTTTTTTAATTTTATTATGTCATGTTAATCACCATACATTACATCATTAGTTTCTGATGTAGTGTTCCATAATTCATTGTTTGCGCATAACACCCAGTACTCCATTCAGTACGAGCCCTCTTTAACACCCATCACCAGGCTAACCCCTCCCCCCACCCCCTGCCCTCTAGAACTCTCAGTTTATTTCTGAGAGTCCATAGTCTCTATTCTTAACTGCCATGCACAAAATGAAAATACATACACACACACATTTGACATTTCACACTCCTCCTGTATGTTATTTTCTTCATAAACAAATATTAATAGTGTCAGTTTTTCAACTATAAATAAAAGCAAGCTATTGTTTTCTTCTAATCTTGCTTTAGGACAAGTAATCTAAATATTTTGTTAGATGCTAAAGAGAAAAATGTTTATGCTACTTTATTTAAAAAATGTTTTTGTTTATGTTTATTTAAGAAATGTTTTGGAAAACATTATAATGTTTATATTATAACATAATAAACATTAAATGTTTATTTAAGAAATGTTTTCCAGAATATTTCTAGACCCTTCACTCAGAGATACTGCCAGAGATTTTGATTTTTCAAAATGATCAGATTGGTTGCTAAGAGCGCCATTTTCTTGCCAAACTTAATACTTAACGCATGCTCTCTGTAGAATTTTCAGAGAAAGACTAAGCCTGATAACATTGTTCAATAAAACAAGTAAAAGTAAATGGCAGTATTCAATAAAGTATGACAGCTGTGGAAAGAAAGTCTTTAAAAGCAGGTTTAAACATTTCTTAAGAATCTCTTGATGTTTCATCTCCCCATAGACTAAATGTGATGAGGAGCAGGGACCGATGTGTTAACCCACTAACCTACCATAATAGCATGACAGATGCTTCCTACCCGAAGGGGTCATGCCTGGGAGACAGAGAGGAGCAGAAGACTGACAGAATGCCCAGGGAGAGTATTGATCCACTGACTTTTTTCTGGTAACCATTACAGAGACACGCGTTGACAGTAATTAAAATGACTTACACACTGGGATGGTTTCAAACTCAAATCTTCGACTGAAGACACCATAGCCTGCTGCTGTGCGTGCCCGAATTTGGAAGACATACACTGAAGCTGGTTTCAAGCCCTCTGCAGTTACAGTTGTCTCTTTAGACTTGATAATTGTATAGCTGGTTTCTTGGTCCTTGGATTACACATGTACATACAATAAAAAAGTCAACATATGAATTACTAATGACAACAAAACTTAGAATCATAAATCAGAAAATCAGAAACTAATAAACTTGCTATTAGTACAAATACAATCTTTTAGAAAAAACAAAACAAAACTATACGTCCTAGGTGTGTTATCTATATAAAACGTGAAAGTGTTTCCTAGAACTCAAAGATGGTGGATAACATGTTATCCAGTCACCCACCATACTTGTCTTCAGCACAAATAAATTTGTAAACTTTTAAAATATGATTTGCAGGAGATGAATTATTTTACAGACTCTATTTTAGTATTGGTATTTGTGAGTTTATTTTTCTCATAAATGTTTTATTGGAGCACATATAACATGCTGCCTATTCACAGAGAATGGTGGCAAGGTCTCAGATATTGCCAGGTAAGACTTATGCTTTATATCTCTGGTGAATTTGATTTCTAATTATATTTAAGCCTTGGGAGAAGAATGAGGATTTTGCTGGAGAACTTTAAATTCAATTCATTAATTCTAAATAGAGATTACTAAAGAAAAACTGAAGAAATTTTTTTTCTTTTTAAAAAGCTTTCTATTTTTTCACGTTTTTTTTGTTTGAGCTGGGTGAGTAGTGAATGGAGATGGAGTGAAAAAAAAATCACTGAAAAGATAGTTTTGGAAACTGTTCCTATTTTGACTGCTACCAAAATCTGGACTAACCACACATAACTTCTCCTTACCTCTGAGGTTACCACACTGAATCTTAGACTGACACACTGAATCTGAAACCTACAAAAATCTAAATACACAAAGCCTCTGTTCTGAACTTTCTCCTCCCTTGTATTTTTCTGTGTGAATTCTTGACTACACTTGTATTTCCTTAAGGTGCTCCCACAATTATTACATTTCTGATAGATATTACAGGATGAATTGATAGGTAATGGTTAGAGATTCTTTCCCCCATTTTTAGGAACTGGTCTTTACTTACAGTATCTTGATTGATGACTGTAAACCATCATTTTCTAGATCATTTCATAAAATTTTATTTTACTAATAGAAACATGTATTGAGGTTTTTTTTAAAGATCTAATGGAATAACATGTAAAGGATTTTTTTTTCTGAAATGAGAAAAAAATTGAAAACAAAAATATAACAATTACTTCTCAAGCATCCCAATAGGGAATATGGTTATTATTTAATCTTCATAACACTATTAAAATGCAAAATAAATGCAAACCATGCTCCTTCTCCCTTGAAGTTTACAATCAATAGTAGCATACCGTGCTGTGACTTTAGTGTGGACACAGAAAGCATGTGCTAAAATACAGCAAGTCCATTTTTACTTTTATCCTCAGTTTTCTTATCTGTAAAGTTGGGATATTGGTGCCTGGATATCTTCACAGAGATGTTGTAAGAATGAAAAAAGTAATTCATGTGAAAACACTTAATAAACTAGAGAATAGGGCGCCTGGGTGGCTCAGTTGGTTAAGTGACTGCCTTCGGCTCAGGTCATGATCCTGGAGTCCCTGGATTGAGTCTCGCATCGGGCTCCCTGCTCGGCAGGGAGTCTGCTTCTCCCTCTGACCCTGTGCTCCCTCTCTCCCTCTCTCTCATTCTCTCTCTTTCAACTAAATAAATAAATAAATAAATAAATCTTTAAAAATAAACAAATAAACTAGAGAATACGTGTTTTAATTGTCATAATTTTTATTTAAATTTTTTCTACTTTGACACATCAAAGTGAATTGCTAATCACGTTCTATTCTACCACCAATACAATCTAAAGTATACAACCTACCAAAAATGATTTTTAAAACAGTTTTACCATTCTTCATTTAATACAGTCAAACATAGAGAATTATCTTAGGGTTAAGTTCATCCAAATTTCTATCTAAATTCTAAAGCAAATAGGTTTTCTGATTCACTCTATGCAAACAACTCTTTTCTTAAATTTTTTTAATGCACAGATTAATTTAAATGCCAGATCTTTAAGGTGTTTAGGAAATATTACTAGATTTTTGCAAAGGATTTAAAGTAGGTCATTAAATCCTATAAAATTTTACCTAGTAATGTACTGATGTTCTGTGGCTGCTCAAGCTTAAGACTGAATATGCAAGACCTTCTCAATAAGATTATACTTTTCACTTTGGCTGACTGAAGCAGTAATTTCAGTAAGAAATGATAAAATACCTGTTTGTTATTATTTGCATTTTGTTTAAAGAGAAGTTGGTGTAAAAATCTAGACAAAACTAAAGATTCTGGTATATTTGATATAATTATGAATTTACATAAAACATTAACATAATGTAAAGTAGGAGATTTTTTGTTTGTTTTATAAAAGAGCACAGGAATATCAGGGTTAGAATTCAAGTCATGCTATTATCTAAGAAGTGTGCAAATGTGGATACACAACTCAACCTCAGTTTTTTCTTCTTTAAAATGGGACAAAATTATTTATTAAGAGCCTTGTGAGCAATAGAGATGGAGATACAGATGCTATACATAGCACCCAGCACAATCTCCACAACATAACCAGTTCTAGGTAAATTTGACTTGAGTCTGTATCATGATGGCAAATTTAATAAAAAGTTTGTTGTAAACTCCTAACTATTGAAGTCACAATTAATATGTCTTGTAAAATTATTAGAAGTTGACATTTTTGCCAAATCGGGGGGGTAGGAAACATTGTAAGGAAACTGGCATGCTGCTCCTTGAAATAATGCATGACCTAGTATCAATTGCACAAAATTATGCAACATTCTGATTTATATATTAACAGATATATCTAAGTGGTTCTTTATCGGAGTTCTAATTGCACATTGTCTCTCTGGGTCAGTTGAAATCTCTAGTGTCAGAGGGACTCACCAAAGCATATATCTAAGGGATTGAAAACCGTAAATACCGATCTTGAATTACCTAAGTATCTTTCAAAATTTGCTTCTGTTCCACTCTTTTCAGTCACGGTCATATTATAATTTCCTTTTTATCACAAACCCTATATATACATCTTCAACACCCACGACCACCAGGCTTCCAGATCCTGGTCAGGGCAATGGCTTTTGCTGCCTTCGTGCTCCAGCTGAGCAAATGAGCTACATTCCCCAGCTGCTTAACAAACACTGTTCACATGCAGCGAGGGGAGGGCCTCAGCAGAAGGAGCCAGCTGGCAAACACCCTGCCAAGGGGCAGGTCCCTTTGCCTCTGCCTTTAATTAAGAGATGGCAGTGGGCCCATCACCATGCAGGAGCAGAGAGGCCCAATGACCTCTATTAGAGCGGGGCAATGGCAGGTAGTAATGCGGTTGGCAAATGCAAGAGCCCTGGAAAGCTCTGCCACCTGTGTCTGGCCAAAAGCCATCCAATAAAATGGCGGTGTCATTCTGAAGGTTCAAAATGAGCTCGGGAAACCTATCAGGACCCCCACCTCAATACATGCTATAAAAGCTCATTATCCTTTTCTTCTTTTTCCTTTTTTTTTCCCCAAAAGTGTTAAAAAAACTTTCATGTATTTTGTTGGTATGCTCAATAATTTTGCTTGGCAAAAAGTTCTGGGAGTTAATATTTTCACCGTAAAAAGGAAAACACTGACCAAGAGAAGTTAATAACTTCCCCCAAATAATATATAAAGGTTTTGCTGCTTTTAATAAATGTAAATGGACAACTTGCTCTTCATTTACTGAAACTATATATAGAAATATTTTCCTAAGTTATTTTTTCTTATGTTGAGTTATGCAGATAATAGAATGCATTAACACGGCATTAAATGTAAGATATTAAATGTAAAACTAAATTTTCATGAACTAATTATAGAACTATGAAGAAAATAATTCCACAACATGGATAAAATTCATTAGAAGGAATATTAAGAGAAAAGGACTTTGCCTACCACTTGTTGAAAAACTCTTTGTTTAACAGAAGCAGCAACTTAAAGAAAAAAAGAAAAAAAGAATGATAAATCCTTGCTTTTATTGAGTATTAATCAAGCACATGCTGGTAATAGTAAAAACAATGAAAAATTACTCATAAGGGGGAAAAATAGGATAATTTCATTAGAAACAAAAAAGAAAACCAGACATTGGTCCAGCTAGTTGCTTCAGGGGAAGGAAAATCATACAAAAAAATAATGACGTCAAATTTTAGTCTTCTTGTTGTAGAACTTCGTCTACAATGTATATTCAAATGTAGAGTTTTGGTGAATAGTTTTTTAAAAAAAATTTTAAATACTCCCTTCTTTTAATTAATTAATTAATTAATTAATTTTTAAAGATTTTATTTATTTATTTGACAGAGAGAAACAAAGCAGGAGAGGGAACACAAGCAGGGGGAGTGGGAGAGGGAGAAGCAAGCTTCCCGCTGAGCAGGGAGCCTGATGTGGGACTTGATCCCAAGACCTGGGATCATGACCTGAGCCGAAGGCAGACGCTTAACGACTCAGCCACCCAGGCACCCCTAATTTATTCTTTTAAAGTAGGCTCAATACCCAATTTGAGGCTCAAACTCACAGCCCCAAGATCAAGAGTTGTGTGCTTCACTGACTAAGCCAGCCAGCGCCCCTGGTGCGTCATTATTTTTAAATGTCATTATGCATTTCAACTTCTTTTGAAATCAACTTCAATTACAATAAAAACTTGAAACTCAGAATATTTATAAAAATCAGTGTATGTTATATCTATCTATCATCTATCTAGCTATATCTCCTGCTTTTCATTAGTATACAGTAATAAAATTTACAAAAAAATAAATAAGGATGTAAACCTTAATTTAACAAATTATTTTTGGGTAGAGCATGTGTTTAGATTGTAGATCTCTAGAATGTAAAATACAATTTGGACTACTACTCCCAGAGAAACAAGAATCAGTGAGGAATATTAATTACACAACATTTTTCTTTATTTGTCTTATTTTTTATAATAAATACGGTAAACCATATCCCAATATAGTTTTTTTTTTTAAGATTTTATTTTTAAGTAATCTCTACATCCAACATGGGTCTTGAACTCATAATCCCGAGATCGAGAGTTGCATGCTCCACTGACTGAGCCAGACAGGTGCCCCTATACCAACAAAGTTTTGTCTCATAGATACTCTCTTAGGACATTCTTGGTGAATAATGTATTTGATAATATATTTTTTTATGAAATAGAAGTATCTTCATTTATGTTCCCCAATGATCCAATAGTTATTTGTGATGCTACCAGCAAGTCATTCCTAGGAGGATTACTAAGTAATCCTTCAAAAGTAATAATTTGCTATTTATTCATCTATTTATAAAATCAATATAAGAACATTGTACAGGCATTCAACACCTAGGAAGGATATGTAAACATCCCCACTGTCTCCCTTCCCCCACCCACTACTGTTTTACTCTCTATCATTATCTTTACACAGGTAATTGTTAAATCAATGAATAAAAGAAACAATTAAAAAAATCTCTATATGCTATGCATTAATTTGATGTATTTCAACATATTTACCTATACTCTTTCATCTATGCATATACACAAAATGTTGAATTTTTAAATAACTTTCATTAATAGAATATAAGTATTTTTCCAGATATTTTTGCATTAGTATAAGGAGAACCATTTATTCCCTCTCCTCTCTTTTCCAATGTCCTAGCATGGACAGTTTCTCTGAGATTGCAAAGTAAGTTTTTAACTTCTTCCTATCCTCTTCACTATTCGCTCTAAGAGAAGGAGTGATGCTTTCATGAGTTTAGGGAAAGCAATTTAGTACATGTGGCTGAGTCCTTTCCTTTTTTGGGGGGGATCTGCTTCTCTGCATACGTTTGTGATCTTTTCTGCTCCTACTTTCATAGGATACATACTCTTGAGTCAGAGTTTCTTACCCACCCGTGAGAGTATGGTTTGAGCACACTTCTATCTTTTTCTCCTCTCCTAGAAGTCAGGTTGTTCTAAGTAGTGTAAGTCATTCAGATCCAGACTGTATAAAAATCAAGGTAAAATGGGGGTGGGAGGTATAGGAAGACCCATGGTAACTGCATATCTAAGCTATATACTATAGTTCCACTTTAGAGATTTAAGTTCACCTTTATTTTCCATCTGTATTATTTCTTTATCAATAGCTCACTTGGCTGTGGATTCAGAAAAAAGGAAAAGGAATAATTGTTGCCTTTAGACCTCAACAACTATTAAGGCACAACATGCAAGAGTGGGCCTAAGAGACAACTCAGGAAAGAAGAAATTGAGAAAATGTAGGAAATGTGAGGTCTACTTTTCTGATTTTATGCCTTCTAATTTTCAAATACAATTTATAATACAGTATTAGGTTTTTGATATGGATTTTAAAAATTATGCTTTATATTCACATCTTATCTACCCATACCTCCTTAAGAGCATAGGTATTATGTAGGGTTAATGGCTATAACCACATGTGTTTTTCCTTGTAGTACACTGCAGTCAGTACTGAAGGTCAAGAACTTAAGTGTTTACACTTTCAAAATGTCCTATGACTTCATCTTTTAATGCTGTGAAACTTAGTTAAGCTTATGTTAGACTATATGGCACTAGTCCGACAGCATAAACGATTTGGCAGCAGAAGAATACGGATAGAGTGCTCCCTATACATTTCTAGCCTCCATAATCATGACTGCAGAATCAATTGTCATTGATTTACGCATAAAATTGCAACATGCTTTTCTAAATATTGGATAATTGCAGTTGCTAAAATGAAAAAAAAAGAAGCAGAAGAAGAAAGGACATTCTTTATTCTATTACTCTCACCTTTTCAAAATATTTGATTTCGTACTCCAAGATGATTCCATTCGGACGATCTGGCTCTTGCCAAGACAAAGAGATGCTGTTTTTTGCAATCTTCCCCTTTTTCACATTGGTGACTGGAGAGGGAGCTGCAAAATAGTGTAAATAAAGAGTAGCATGATTAACAGAGCCCTGAAAATACAATGAGATATAATGTAGTATAATTATTACATTAACAATTTAACAAGAACTACATTAACAATTAAATTTTCCTTTACCCTGAAAATTTTACTTTCCTTTATATAATAAAAACGTTCTACAGATTGTAAAGTGTTTTACAAATATAAATCAAGTATCCTGAGAATTTTCTTAAAACTAGAGTCACATAGAATCTTAAGTATACATTTTCACTACAAAGTTTAGAAACATAAATGATCTTACTTTTCTTATAGAATAAAGACATTCCTGATGACCTTATATATCTTCCATGTTTCTAAAGTTATTGACACTGCATAACATATATCCCATTATGCTAGTACACATGATTATCTATATTACCATATTTTCACATTTTGGCTCTTTTAATTTTTTTAATCATGTGGGTCCTATAATCATTATAAAATCATCAGTTAAAGATAGTGGGGATTGCCTTCAAAAATATATCATTAAACTTGTGGTATTTCTTGAAAACAATAGCAGATAAAATAAACATTTTCCTAATCTGAAAGTTTTTCCTCTAAGATAAGGAACAAGAAAAGGGTGGCCACTCCCACAACTTTTATTAAATATAGTATTAGAAGTCCTAGTCACAACAATTAGGCAAGAAAAAGAAGTAAAAGACATCCAAATTGGAAAAAAGTAAAAGTGTCATTATTTGCAGGTAACATGATACTATATATATAAAAAGCTAATGACTCTACCAAAAAAGCTACCAAAATTAATAAATTATTTTAATCAGGTTGCAGGATACAAAATTAATATACAGAAATCTGTTGTGTTTCTATACACTAATAATGAACTAACAGAAATAGAAATTAAGAGAACGATCACATTTACAAATACATTAAAAAGGACAAATACCTAGGAAGAAATTTAACCAAAGAGGTGAAAGATCTGTATTCTGAAAACTATAAGAAAGAAATTGAATACAACACAAATAAATGGAAAGATATGCTACGCTAATGGGTTGGAGGAATTAATATTTTTAAAATGTCCATACCACCCAAAGCAATCTATAGATTCAATGTAATCCCTACCAAATTACCAATGACATTTTTTGTAGAATTTTAACAAATTATCCTAAAGTGTATACAGAATCACAAAAGACCCCAAATAGCCAAAGCAATCTTGAAAAAGAATAACAGAGCTGGAAGTATCACACTAGTTGATTTCAAACTACACTTCCAGGCTAGAGTGATCAAAACAGTATGATATTGGAAGAAAAACAGACACATAGATCTATGGAATGGGCTAGAATAGAAAGTCCAGATATAAACCTACACATATATGGCCAATTAATTTATGACAAATGAAGGAAGAACATACAATGGGGAAAGAACAGTCTTTTCAATAAATAATGCTCAGAAAATTGGACAGTCATGTGTGAAAGGATGAAACTGAACTATTATCTTATGCTATACATCAAAATTAATTTAAAATGAATATAAGATTGGAAACATAAAACTCCTACGAGAAAAAATAGGCAGTAATCTCTTTGACACTGTTCTTAGTGATATTTTTTTTTAGATATGTCTCCTCTGGCAAAAGCAACAAAAGTAAAAATGTAAAAAAATGAGACTGCATCAAACTAAACTTTGCACAGTAAAGGAAATCATTGACAAAATGAATAATAAGAGAAGATACTTGCAAACCATATGTCTCATAAGAGGTTGATATCCACGATATATAAAGAATTCATACAACTCAATAAGAAAAAAAAACCCGATTTAGAAAATGGGCAGAGGATCTGAATAAACATTTTTCCAGAGAAGACACATAGATATTCAACAGGCATATAAAAAGATGCTCAATATCAGTAATGATCAGAAAAATGCAAATCAAAACCACAATGAGATGCCACCTCATACCTGTCAGAACGACTATTATCAAAAAGACAAGAAATAACAAGTATTGGCTAGGATGTGAAAAAAAGGGAAGCCTTGTGCAGTGTTGGTGGATAAATTGGTCCAGCATCTGTGAAAGCAAAATGGATTCCTCAAAAAATTAAAAATAGAACTACTATAAGATCTAGCAATTCCTCTTCTGGGTATCTTTCCAAAAAAGAATGAAAACACTAATTTGAAAAGATACATGTACCCTTATGATCATTGCAGCATTATTTATAATAGCCAAGATATGGAAGTAACCAAAGTGTCCATTAATAGATGAATAGATATAAAAGATGTTGTATATACTTATGTGATATATATGGTATATACCTGTATACATACACACACACACACACATACACATACACACAATGGGATATTACTCAGCCACAAAAAAATGAAATCTTTTGACAATGTAGATGGATCTAATAGGTAGTAAACGAAGTGAAATAAGTCTGACAGAGAAAGACATGATTTCACTTATATGTGGAGCTAAAAAAACCAAAACAAACAAAACAGAAACAGACTCACAGATACTGAAAATAAACTAGTTGTTACCAGAGAGCTGGAGGGGGAGACAGGTGAAACAAGAGAAGGGGATTAAGAGGTATCAACTTACAGTTATAAAATAAATAAGTTACAGGAATGTAATGTACAGCATAAGGAATAGAATCAATAATATTGTAACAATTTCATATGCTGACAGATGATATCGTGATCATTTTGTAATGTATAAAAAATATTGACTCACTATCTTGTGTGCCTGAAACTAAAATAATATTGCATGTCAATTATTGTTTAATAAAAAAAGAAACATTTTCCTTCAGTTCCATCTCCTCCAAATATTTTTTTAGAAGTCACAAATACTTATGATGTTCATTGCTATCTGTCAGTGCCTATTGAATGACTTCTCTGATGAAAATAGAAAAAAATCTATGCTATTTTAATGTGTCTGGATTCCAAACATATGGATATTTGATTCAACATCCATTTTGTCAATCTGTAGCGATATGTATAGATTCTGGGTTTGACAATACAAATATGTGTTGACTAATATTTTTCTTGATGTAGATGATCTTTATTTTTGCAATTTTTAGCTTTGATTAGGAGAGATCATCATGGACTAATGGAAGGTGTGTGTGTGTGTGTGTGTCTGTGTGTATGTAGAGAGAGATCACATATATTATATGATAAGTATATGATATGTATATAATATGTATATTATAATGCACATATGATAAGGTAGAAAAGATGCCAGTGATAGCGAATAGTGTATAACCAGTGAAAAGTGTATAGCCCTATCTGAACAGTATTAAACATGTGGTGAGATTAATATGTAATGTAATTTATATATTAATTTGTAGAATGTATGTATGTACACTTATACATGTATATATATGTAATTTATATATTATATGTAGAATGTATATATATAATATAAAAGTTATATTATATATATATATAGTTTATTCACTCAAGATTAGAAGACAAATCTAGAATTTCATACAGAGATCAACATCGTCTGGCACCCTGCATCTTTTCTTACTTTACCTCCTGCTAACTGTGCCCCAGCTTTCTGTTCTTAGGGCACTTCAGACACACTTCTGCTGAAGACATTTGTACAAGCATTCTATCATTCAGAGGTGCTTCTCACCCTGACTTCTCCACGATTCTCTCCCTCTCCTGTGGTTTTCTCACTGAGATCTTTCCTGTCCACTCTATGACTGAAGTAACCAATTTCCGCCTTTCCCCTCTCTCCTCACCATACCCTCTGTTCCTCTGGGTTTTTTTTTTTTTTTTCTCCTTAGCTCTTGCCCTTGCACTACCTGATACACATATCTGAATGTAGATTTGCTTTTTTCAATCCTCTCAAGTAGAATGTAATTTTTATGAGGACAGGGATATTGTTTATTCTAGTCACTGCTGAATTTCTAGATCTAGAACAATGCCTGAGACAGGGACAGAGGAGGGTCCAATAAATATGTATGGAATGAATGGCTGGTAAAAATCAAAGTAATACATACAAAAACTTAAACCTTTTAAAATAAAAATTATTTTGTCAACAAAATTAACTATGAAACTCAAGGTTTAAGTATGTCTTTCAAAAAATTAAAATAAATAGAAGCAGATATAATCTGTAGGAGAGAAAAATTAGCTGTGTAGTGTTTTATATACCCATAATAGGGTGATAATGACTTTGGTACTTCAATGTGTACTCTTATTGTTTCAATCACAGAGCTTTGTGATACTCAGGCTCAGAGGGCTCATATTTTCAGCTTTATCTTGTTTTCTTAAACATGTCCAGTTCCTCAGAATTTTCTGCAGTACTACAGAACACACAATGTGCATATAAAACCAAATTGTCTAAAAGTATCTGAAATTGCATTTTGTTTACCTCCATGAAATTGTAATTGACTGGTAGTTCTCACAGTCATATTTTGATATAGGTTCAAAGTCCCTATTGATTTCCTAGTGAAGGGAAAGTCATGCCATATTTGCCACTATGGACAAAGCATGGAGAAGACACGGAAACAAGAAAGAACAAGCTATGGGCCTCATAGTTCATACAGTATTTATAGCAAAGTAGCAAATACACTCAAGTAGAAATAGTAACAAGTTGATGATAGTGCCACTTTTCTATTCATAAATTGAATTTAACATGTATGCTCCATGAAGGTAGGGATTAATTTGATTTAGTTCACTACAGTAAAAGAATTACCAGAAAATTAGTTGGTATCTAGAAATTTAAGAAATATTTGCTGAATGGATGCATGAATGAATGAATGGGAAATACACACATCATGTATCATTCAAAACTGAGTTTGTCTCATAAGTGCATAGAGTAGGATCTTATTATTTAAGGATTTATGTTTTATTTTAAAACTTAATTCTTTGGGGCACCTGGGTGGCTCAGTCAGTTAAGCATCTGCCTTTGGCTCAGGTCATGATACAGATCCTGGGGTCCTGGGATTGAACCCTGCATTGGGCTTCCTGCTCAGTGAGGAGTCTCCTTCTCCCACTGCCCCTACCCCACACTGGTG